ATTTGTATTAAATATTGAAAATAAACAAATATTAACTCATTTATCAACTTATAGATTAAAAATAAGAACCTTTTAAGTAACGGAATAAAAAAGAAAAATAATATCTGTGAAACTTCTGATTTCCAATCAACATAGACGTAGATCTATCATTACCAGACAGGGTATGTCGCTCCAACATGCTGTCAGACTGTTTAGCTTCCTTCCAATGTAGCGGATGCTAACTGTGAGCTAGCTCTCTGTTTTTAGTCTAATCCACCAATCAGAGACTTTGTTCTGTTAGAGTTTTTAAACCGGTGGTTCTGGTTGCTCTCAGAGGAACGTTAGAACTCTGCTCCATGAAGGTCATGATCTGATCCAAGGTTTATACAGAAATAGGTAACTCTTATTTAATGCTTTTTAAAACTCTTTCAAATAATTTTACATGTATTCTAAACTTCCTTAAGAAGATTTTAAGACGTAGCACTAAAAATAAAGTTGAACATAACAGGAAAGATTTGAAAAAAGTGAAAACAAAAACTCATTCTAGAAAAATGACACTGAATGTCAAAAAGTACAGTTTATGGTAGAAACGCTACTAATGATTCATTCTTTTAGAAAACGAATGCATCTGTCTGGTTTGCTTTCCATTCCCGTTCTGACTCAACATTTTCAGTTCAATTGATTTGACCCTGTTCCTCTTTCTAATGCTACGTTCAGACCGCTAGCAGCAGAAGCTACAGGTTTCCATGCAAAGTCAATGGTTGACCTGCATCAAGGTGCAGCAAAAGGTCCTGCAGCGCTTTTAGAGCAGCGACTCATCAGCTTCTGAGCATCTGAGGCGCGCAATGCGCTTCACAAGCAGCAGCTGCTGGAATTGGAAAAATGTAACTAGCTGCTGGATGCGCCGCATCAACCAATGAGAGAAGCTGATCTGGGAGCTGGCAGGGAGTCAGACACAGCACTGCTGATGCAGAGCGCTATGATCACTCCTCTGAAACAGTTTAACGCCTAAATTAACTTCAAATGTGCAAACCTGCCAGATAAATATGTTTGATTTTAGTATCCTGGTGCCTGCAGTTTGGATTACGTTCATGAAAAACGCCTTCAGCCACAAAGAGTAGCGGAAAACCGCGAAGAGGTGAGCGGGCCTGAGGCAGCTGCTGCTGGGGATTCCCAGTGACAGCGCAGCGCCGGTATGTGGGCGTCTGAGCGGCTCTTTGAAGGCAGGATGGTAATCTGGATGAACTGACTGCACAGACCATGTTTTCAGGAGGACTTTCTCACTTCAACATAGATTCTAACTACTTTCTACCCGCTGATCACAGCTAATATAGCCGCCATTGTTCCAGGCAGAGAAAGGATAGGGTAGCTCCGCCCACCACGCATCAGACCCACTTTTAGGCTGCGCAGCTGGAGCAGCAAAGATGCTTGAGCCGCACGTCAGAACTAAACTGGTTAGGGATGCACGATATTGGGATTTTGGCCGATATCCGATATGCCGATATTTTAAAACTCATGTAGCCGATAACCGATATCGATACCGATGTTAAAGCCGGACAAAAATAAGTAGTCATTGAAAATAGCAGTTTTTTTATCCATTTCTGACACTTTGAAAAATAATATACTCAAATATATTTTCATATGCTGATATCAAATAGATTTTTTTAAAACGCGGTATCGATCTATTTTACTTTCAAAATCTGGTGAAATTTCATCGTTCTGTTACAAACTCTCGTGATATTTTGCAAATTCTTGTGAGATTTTGTTAGTAAAATAGATCGATACCGCGTCAATATATCAACATATAAAAATATGGCAACATTTGGTGAATTTTCGGGGGATTTCGTAGCATAACGATGACATATAGCAATATTTCATTAGTAAAAGAGATTGATATGGTGTTTTTAAATGGCAATATATCAGCATATGAAGATATTGGGATATTTTAATGGATCAATATTTTTTCCCTCGTCTTTAGAAGTTTTTAAGTCTGTAAAAAAGAAGTTTTTGAGGAAGAAGAAGAAGTAGTATTTTTTTTTTTTTTAGACTTTAGAAACTCAGAAGCTGATCAAATATCGGGTTAAATATCGGTGGGGTGGCCGATGTCCGATATTCAGTTTTAAGGCCGATACCGATAGGGGGCCGATTATATCGTGCATCCCTAAAACTGGTACAAGCATCTAAAATGCAGCAGCAGGCGCGTTTCTGCTGCTCCTGCTGTGTGCGATCTGAACGTAGCACTAGAGTATTGGATTCTGTTAGCATTGAGTCATAACTATGCTATTTTCACAGTTGAAACATTTGGCTAGTTCTGGGAACAATACCTGGAAAAATTCGGATAGATCTTCATTAGAAGTGTATGAGGGGGTGTTTCACGGCCAGGCTTTTAACTAGCAATGAGTACATGACGCCGATCCTGTGGCGACGTTTGGCCAAATATGTGGCGTAACGTCACTGGTATGAACAGGGCCTGAGCAGATCTGGTTCCTACGGTGGACTCTGCATCCATTCATTGTTCTGCTCTGGAATTACTTCCTGCAGCGCCCTCTAGTGCAGGGGTCGTCAATGTTTTCCGGGCCAAGGACCCCAAACTGATGGCGATGGAGCGGGGACCCCCCTAATTATATATATGGTGAGAAATAGTGTTCTATCAAACTGGTCCTATAGTCACTCTATTACAGATGGAATAATGTAACTAAAGTAATCCCTCCCTGGGATTATTAAAGTATTTCTGCTTCCTGGTTGATGGAAACGGTGTCCAGCTTGAGTCCATTTATCTGTTTACTACAGTCTGTTGAATTCATGTTAATGTGGATTTAAAGACATTTCAATTAGTGGAAAAAATTGCAGGAAGGGAATATAAAAAAAAATTGTTTAATCAACCAAAACTTTCACGACCCCCATGCAGTACCTCCGTGGACCCCCTAGGGGTCACGGACCCCCTGTTGAAGACCTCTGCTTCAGTGGATGACGGCAACACAACAACAACAAATTAACGGATGGAACAAGTTTTGATCAAATAAACCATTAATGGACGATTCATCCTAAATGGCTTCATTGTTTACGTCCCTGGAAGGTATGGGTTTTTAAAAGCAAACTTTGTTTTTCAGCAAGAAAAGGTCAAATCACTTCTATTTTCATGTTTTATGGACATCTAAAGAGCAGGACCCTTATGAAAGCATCGTGTTCACGTGTGACGAAGGTTCCACACATCATGATTTCAGCGATAAGATGCGGCCCTTCACCCCCTCCCTGAGCGAACCACATCCTGCGGAGGCGTGGAACCACATGACCTGAAATGATCGTGGAGATTAATCGGGTGATAACAGGACGGTCGTCTTGACGATGGCAGCTTCTTCCGCTTCACACCCGCTCTGAAAGCCGGTGTCAGCGATAACAGAGGTGGGTTCACTTTAACCCCCCCCCCATGGCTGCCTGAGTCCCACAGGGAGGGGAGGACGGCGCCCTGGGCTGAGCTGTAGTAGCTCTGCAGGTACGCCGTCGGTCATATGCTGAAGGTTCTGGTTGTTCTAGCCCTACCAGCTGCAGCATCAGGTATGCAGATATGCAGCGTTTGGATCCATAATCAGAAGATTAAGCAACCTGCATTCACAGCTCGCCCTCTCAGACGCTCCTCTTTATATTTCCAACACGTTCCCGTCCTGAATGCCGCCGTCAGGTCCCCAAAACCGCTGCAACACGTGCAGCATTAAAGCCCAACGCAGTGGAGGAGACCACTTTAGAAAAACATTAATGAACTCATCGCCTCCTTTAAGGGCCCAGGACCCAGAGCCGGCCTGAAGGTTCTGCTCTGAGGTTAGAAGCAGCAGATCCTCCTGCAGGATGGACCGTTAACTGGTTCAACTGGTTCGTTCATCAGCTGATGATGCAGTTAAGTTTAAACTGTTTTAATGTGAAGAACTAAAATCACAAAGGAATCTAAACCTTTGATTAACGGGCCTCCCAGAATATTCTGGTAGCAACTGGTTATGGATCCCAACCAAACAGGTCTGATGGGAAGCTGGAGGAGGAAGAGCTGGAGGTCTTCCTCCTCTGATGATGATTCATGGAGCCGATTATTGATCCAATTATTGATCCTGCACTGCAAGAATTGGAAATCTAAGTTATTTTTCTTTAAATAAGAGAATATGATTGATACATGTTACCAATGGAATCAGAACATTTACAATTAAAATAAGAAAAAACAACTGCAGTCTCTTATTTAATGTGCATAATATCTAATTATCTAATTTTATACTCATTTTAAGAGTAAAACTGCTCGTTCCATTGGTAGATTATCTCATGAACCTGCTGAAATTAAGGGGAAATAATCTTAATTTCAGCCATTCTGACTCATTTTTTGGTTGTTTTTTCAGTGTCTCTAATCCCATCAGGATCAATCAGTGGAATCGGACTCTGATCTGGACTCGGTTCCCTGACCGAATCACTGAACGGTTCACTTTCATGCTGAATATATTACTGAACTACTTCCTGTTGATTGATTAAAACTGATCCGGATCATTCTTGATCGATCCGGATCATCGATCCGAATCGATTCCCTGATGAGGCATCGATCAGATCCGGACATGGAGGGACGCGCTGATCGGAACCAGAACCCGCGCGTGGCGCGTGGACCTGGGCTCAGAGGGCAGACCCACCCGGACCAGGCGGTTCGGATACGTTCGATCCGGTTCTGCTGCGGGTCGGACCGTCCTCCTGACCCCCCCTCTTTGTTCTTCCTTAATGGATCAGCGTCTGGAGCCCCCCCCAAATGAAAAACACGCTCACCCTGAAAGAACCGAACCCCGTGGTTCTGAACCCACCGTGGGAGGGGGGTAGCATCACTCCCCCCTCCCCCAGGAAAACGGTGGGAAAAGGGGGAAAATTTCCACAGAGCAGAAACTGCGCGAGGCGTTTTCCCCCCCAAACACCCACCCCCCCACACCGCCGAGCCCCTGAACCTGATCCCCATCCAGCCCGAACCCGGACAGCATCCGGACCCCCCCGCCGCGCGGACCTACCTGCACGAGCACGCGCAGAAAAGTCCAATCAGGTATTTAAATCCAAAGAGCCACGCGCCTCTCCTCCTGCTGCTGCGGAGCTCCAACCTGGGGGGGGAGGGGGGGTCCGGACCGTAATAATCTGGAACCGAAGGAATAATAATCCAGCCTTGGGGTTCAGAGCCACGGCGCTCCTCCAGCCTGCATCGGCTCAGCTTGGTTCGGCTCGGCTCTCTGCTCCTCCTGCCCCCCCTTTCCCAAAGTGGACCGTACCACCATCAATCCGTCCGGGGGGGGGGAGCGCGTGCACACACCGCCACCTAAACCAATGAAAACTCTTTAATCACATCAGAGCGCGATCCGAGGAGACCGCGTGCACGCCTGATAGATCGTGTCAATGAGTAAAGCGCGTGCACGTGCAATAACCCCTCCCCCCAAACATCTACTACTTGGTTGAGTCCAGCTCCTTAATCTGCTGTTTTTCCTCCTCCCTGATCCAGATGTGGAGACGGAGAGACACTCGGGGGGAGAGAGGGGGGGAGCTGCATGTAAAACACTGAGGGGGGAGGGGATGGGTGGGGGGGGGGTAAAGGTGGAGAGAAAGCAGGAGGTGCTGGAGATTCAGACTTTATCACCTCAGGAGTTTAACCTGCAAACATTGATTTGATAAAGAGAAGAGAGTCTGGAGCTCTGGTTTAAGAAAGAGGCCCCTGAGCTGAACTAAGGGCCCCAGACTAAACCAGGAGCCACAGACTGGGAGTAAACCAGTCAGAGACCCAGACTATCAACAACCCAATCATTCAAACATGATCTTTCACGGCATCAGAGAAAAGGTTTAGTTAAACTAAAAAAAAATCAAATAAAAACACAGCGAACATAGAAACACAGATTTCCTACAGGCCACATTAATTCTATTCAGTTTGTTACAGGTGGTATGGTGGGCGTGGTCCAAGCAGTATAAAAGCGGAAGCTGCAAACTTTCTTAAAAGGTGTCAGTTTCCATGGGACGCCAGGACGTATCTGGGTTCCACACGTAGATTTGTCAAGAATGTGGGTGAGTGTTTTTAGAGTGTGCTTATATTGAACTTTTATTATGACGAATGTAAATTTTAATCATTCTTTTCCTTGTTAGGAGGCCCTGCAGGTTTTTTAGACCAGGCTGTGTATACAGGCAGATGAGGGTGGTGTACGCGATACAGGTATTTTTTGAGATTTTAAGGTAGTTATTAAAATAATATTTTGATTGTATTATTTTTGTAATTTGGTGTTTTCTGTTTGTTTACAGAGATGTTTTTTTGTTGCTCCTGCTGTCCTTAGGTTTATGTTTTGTTTCTTTTAGTTAGTCCGACCCTGTTTGATGTCTTTGGTCCCGTTGTTTACTTGTGAGGGCGGACTAACTGTTTTGTTTTTTTTTAATCTTTTTTCATTGATCTGTTTGTTTTCTCCTTGTTCACTCTCCCACGAGGCTGTGAGCTGGTAGACAATGTTATATTGCATCTGATCGTCTGCAGTGCCGAGTGCTGATCGTGTGTAGTGTTTTTTTCACCTGATTGCTGTGAAGCCTTATACGTGCGCGACTTTTCTGGTTCTGGTTATGCGGGTTTGTCCGCCATCCACTAACGTCAGAGTTTAAATATTATATTGTCTACCCTAGGCTATCAGTTTCGTAGAAGGAGAGGTAAAGGATTTTCTGTCTATTTGTTTAATAAAGAACGTATATTTTTAGGACTGAGTTTGTTTCATCCTTGCGCGGGTGGTTACATTTGGCGTTGCTTGGTACTGTACGTTCCTTTCCTTTGAAAAGTTATTTTTTTCTGAAGTTTTTTTTCTCTTTTTTTTTTTGGAAGTAGTTTAAGGACAGCAGGGGCAGCAGGTGTTTCTGGCTGCTTGCACATTGCAGACAGGCATGGAGGAGGACTCTGAGAAACACGCCATGTCACAGCGTATCAGAGAGCTGGAAAGTCAGCTGGCAGAGCTGCAAGCAGCTGGTGGGGATTCTGAAACGCCAACTACCTCTACTGGAACCACTAGCGGGAGGCCTACGTTTTCAATCCCACAAGCTCCGATTATATATGTGCAGCAGGATCGAAAGCTGCCAGTGTTTTCTGGACATTTGAACAGCAATGACTCGTGGACTCTGGAGGAGTGGATAGAGCGAATAAGGCATTTTGCCGAATCGAGGGGCTGTACAGAGAAGGAGCGTGCACAAATAGTGTTTGATCATCTGGAGGGTGCCGCTCGTACGGAGGTTAAATTTTTACCCCCGCAACAACGTGAATGTATGGACTCTATTTTTAACATTTTGAGGGAAGTTTATGGATGTATGCATTCTCATGTCTCATTACAGCGTCGGTTTTATAACCGCAAACAACAAGATGGTGAGTCTTTAATCGATTATTCCCATTCTTTGATGGACTTAATGGACATGATTGTTAAAAGTGATGCTCAAGTTGTTTCGAGAGTTGTCTCTAAAGACTTGCGTGATCAATTCATTGATGGAATCAGGGATCAAACCTTGAAAATAAGACTGAGAGACCTGGTTAATGCCAATCCTAACTGGACAATCCGAGAGGCTCGAGCTGAGGCAACAAAGTGGATGGCTCAGTGTGGTGCTCCGTCTAAATCTGTTCGTTTGGTCTCTAATGAAACTGTTGTATCTTGTGAAGCTACTACTGGTTCATCTCAATATTTAGAATTGATGTCTCTGCTAAAAGCCCAACAGACCCAACTAGAGTTGGTGGTTAAAGCACTGGCTCCACAAAGTTTACCTCCAGCAAGGGGCCGCTTCAATAGGCCCAGGCGCAATGCGGATGGAAAACCTATATGCTTTAGGTGTGAGCAGAGCGGCCATATTGCAAGAAACTGCCCGAATAATATTCAGAATGAAGCTAAAGAGGATAACCAAAATGAATCAAAGTCTGCGGGAAACTAGAGCCCGCCAGTGTGCAGAGCCAGACATTGGTGGGGGGACAGATGGGCTCAGATGACATAGATTCTGAATTTGGTAACCTGGTCGGTAAGTGCTTTGAGGCTGAAATAGACTTTGCTGGAGTCAGTGTCCCCTGTCTATTGGACAGTGGGTCCATGGTAACCACTATAACTGAGAGTTGTTTTAATGAAAACTTTTCTCATTTATCTGATAAGAGTCTAAGGGATTGTGGGTGGTTAGGTTTAAAAGCTGCAAATGGTTTAACAATCCCGTACCTTGGTTATATTGAACTGGATTTGAATATTTTGGGTGTGCTGATTCCTCGTCGGGGGTTGTTGATTGTGAAAGATCCATCTGACATTTACATGAGACAGAAAAAAACCGCTGTACCTGGGGTTCTGGGCATGAATGTGTTTAACCCCCTTTATCAAGAACTGTTAAAGAGATATGGCGCTGACCTTTGGGGGGCCCCAGAGATTAAATCCGCACCACCAGGGCTGAAGAAGATCCTGAGGCATTGCCAGGTGATGGAGGCCATGGCCAGCTCTTCAGAACCCTACCCAGTGAGAGTACAGGGTAAGGATCCTCTGTGTATTCCAGCTGGTAGTCTTAAGTATGTCCCTGTTACCTGTCCAAAGGTATCCTTACACCAGGCTATAGAGCTCATGGTGGAGCCTCTGGGCCCAGAGTACACCAGCCTCCCTGAGGGATTGTTGGTTTCACCTTCCTTAGTGAAGGCAGAGCAGGGAAGGACATTTGTGCCAGTTACTAATGTCGGCACAACTGATGTTCTGTTAACACCACGCAGAATAATTGCAACCGTTCAAACTGCTGAAGTTGTTGAGGAGCCATCTCAAACTCAGGTTTCTGTTGATTCACAAAGTGGTACAGCATTTATTGTGAGTCAAGAGGCCACTAAGAAGTGTCAATTTGACTTGCCAGAGTTTGAAAATTTAACAGAAGGTGACCGGCAGCAGGCCAAATCTCTTTTGCTAAAATATAGCGGTATTTTTGCACAAAATGATTTGGATGTAGGATGCACAAATTTGATTAAGCATGAAATACCCTTGCTGGATGAGAGGCCAGTGCGTCAACCATACCGTAGGATCCCTCCTTCCCAGTATGAATTGGCTAGAAATCACATTCAACAGTTGCTTCAGAGGCAAATAATTCGGGAGAGTAGTAGTCCATACTCTTCCCCAATTGTTCTGGTGCAAAAAAAGGATGGTAATTTACGAATGTGTGTCGACTATCGGTTGTTAAATTCAAAAACCAGGAAGGATGCATTTCCTCTTCCCAGAATAGACGAGTCTTTGGATGCTTTGGCTGGAGCCCAGTGGTTTTCTACTTTAGACTTAGCAAGTGGCTATAGCCAAGTTGAAATGGCAGAGAAAGACAAGGCAAAGACAGCATTTTGCACTCCTTTCGGTTTATTTGAGTTCAACCGTATGCCCTTTGGTTTGTGTAACGCACCAAGTACATTTCAGCGGCTCATGGAGCGTATTTTTGGGGATTGCCGCCACCAGTCTGTTTTGCTATATTTAGATGATTTGATTATTTTTTCTTCTAGTGTGCAACAACATCTGCAAAGACTGGATCAAATCTTTTGTCGACTAGAAGCCCAAGGATTAAAGGTCAAACTTTCTAAATGTAATTTCTTCCAGAAAAGTGTTAAGTATCTGGGTCATGTGGTATCGGCTGAAGGTGTTTCCACTGATCCAGATAAAGTGGCTGTAGTTAGAGAGTGGAAGCGACCTGAAAACCTGGCTGAGTTGAGATCATTTTTGGGGTTTGCGTCTTACTACAGAAGGTTTATTGCTGGGTTTTCAAAGATGGCTAGCCCAATGAATCGGCTGGTGACCAAACTTCTTCCATCTGGTAGGAAGGGTAAAACCCCCAAGAAGCCTGTTGCTGGGTTCTGGGATACGGAGTGTGAGGAAAGTTTTGTTAAACTGAAAGCTGCTCTTATAACCACTCCTGTCCTTGCTTATGCAGACTTTCAGAAACCATTTACATTGGACGTAGATGCAAGCCATGGGGGTTTGGGCGCAGTCCTGTCTCAAGAGCATGAGGGTAAGTTAAGACCAATTGCTTTTGCGAGTAGGAGTTTAAAACCTACAGAGCGTAATATGAATAACTATAGCTCAATGAAGCTGGAGTTGGTCGCCCTCAAATGGGCTGTCACAGAAAAGTTTAGGGAATACTTGCTTGGAAATAAGTGTACAGTCTATACAGACAATAATCCTCTAAGCCATTTGAAAACGGCAAAATTAGGTGCTGTTGAACAGAGATGGGCTTCAGAATTGGCTTCATTCGATTTGGAAATAAAGTATCGTCCTGGCCCTCAAAACACAAATGCAGACGCTCTGTCCCGCCTTAATCACCCTTCTAAGGGTGAAAGGGAATTATATGGGGTACAGGCAGAAGTGAGTACACTCCCTGGTCTAGATATGGGTGATCTCTCCATTCTGCAGTCTCAGGATCCCATCATAGGGAATTTTCTTAAGTATTGGAGGGAGGGCATTATGCCAGATGCAAAGGAGAGGCAGTTGCTTAGTAAAGGCTGCAGAGAGTTGATTCGTCAGTGGGGCCGACTTAGGCAGAAGGAGTCAATACTTTATCGTTGTATTCACCAACCAGATGGGGACGGGGAGGTTGAGCAGTTGGTGTTACCTCAGTGTTTACAGGAGCAGGTTCTTCGCCGTCTACATGATGAGCACGGGCATCAAGGGGTAGAACGAACTTTCCAGTTGGTTCGCGCTAGATGTTACTGGCCAAATATGTACAGTGATGTAGAGAATTGGTGTAGGAGCTGTGAGCGGTGTGTACTTTCAAAGGCCCTCCAACCTAAGGTGAAGACCTATATGGGCTCAGTCAAAGCATCTCGGCCACATGAAGTTTTGGCCATAGATTTTACTGTATTGGAGCCTTCCACGGATGGGAAAGAAAATGTTTTGGTTATGACCGATGTTTTTTCAAAATTTACTCAAACCGTGGCAACTAAAGATCAGAGAGCAAGCACAGTTGCTGAGGTTTTGGTAAAACATTGGTTTCAGCCATTTGGCCCTCCGGGTCGTATTCACTCAGATCAGGGCAGAAGTTTTGAAAGTAGTCTTGTCCAGCAGCTCTGTAAAATGTATAATATTGAGAAGAGCCGCACAACTCCTTATCACCCCCAAGGTAATGGCCAGTGTGAGCGGTTTAACCGCACACTACATGACCTATTGCGAACCCTTTCTCCTGAGCAAAAGCGTAGGTGGCCTCGTCATTTATCTCAGGTAACTTATGCCTATAACACCACAGTGCACCAGTCCACTGGCAGGACCCCATATTTTTTAATGTTTGGCAGGGATCCGAAGTTGCCTGTAGATTTTTTAGTGAGAGAGGAACCTGAGTCGGATATCCCCCTCGAAGAGTGGGTGGAGGAACACCAAAAGTCATTATCATCCGCTTATGAGTCTGTGCAGAAGAGACTGGAGAGTAAAAGAGCAGAGAAGAGGCAGAGGGAACAGGGCCAGGCTATGGCATCAGAGTTTGAGGAGGGCGACCTGGTTTTTACCAGGAATCATTCAGTCAGAGGGAGGAACAAAATTCAGGATTTTTGGGATTCTACCCTTTACCAAGTAGTTCGGCCTCCACCTGCAACGGGTGTAGTTTACTCTGTAGCCCCTGTGGGCCAGGAGGGCCCTCTGCGCCAGTTACACAGAACAGAGCTTAGGGGTGTGCCCAAGAGTAGGGAGGATAACACTCCTCCCAGTGTCTGTACAGAAAGGGAACAGAACGAGTTAAGTGAGGACGATGCTGTTCATGTTTCTGAGGTAGTAGATTCTGTACCAGGGTTGCTTAATGATGTAAATGGTTCACTTCTAAGTGACAAGGTGTCTGATGTTGAACAGCTTCCAGGTCCGGGTCCCAAGGAAACTGACACCCCCATGGTCTCTGGACTTCGGAGATCGGTTCGGAAAACAGCTGGTCAACATTCAAATCCATACAGACTGCCACAATCTGTGCAGGTCAATGACCCAGCATTGTAAAGTTTGGCAGGGGGATTTATCTGAGTGTACAGTATAGTACATCATCGGGTCGACGATGATCTTTGTTAGGGAGGGATGTTACAGGTGGTATGGTGGGCGTGGTCCAAGCAGTATAAAAGCGGAAGCTGCAAACTTTCTTAAAAGGTGTCAGTTTCCATGGGACGCCAGGACGTATCTGGGTTCCACACGTAGATTTGTCAAGAATGTGGGTGAGTGTTTTTAGAGTGTGCTTATATTGAACTTTTATTATGACGAATGTAAATTTTAATCATTCTTTTCCTTGTTAGGAGGCCCTGCAGGTTTTTTAGACCAGGCTGTGTATACAGGCAGATGAGGGTGGTGTACGCGATACAGGTATTTTTTGAGATTTTAAGGTAGTTATTAAAATAATATTTTGATTGTATTATTTTTGTAATTTGGTGTTTTCTGTTTGTTTACAGAGATGTTTTTTTGTTGCTCCTGCTGTCCTTAGGTTTATGTTTTGTTTCTTTTAGTTAGTCCGACCCTGTTTGATGTCTTTGGTCCCGTTGTTTACTTGTGAGGGCGGACTAACTGTTTTGTTTTTTTTTAATCTTTTTTCATTGATCTGTTTGTTTTCTCCTTGTTCACTCTCCCACGAGGCTGTGAGCTGGTAGACAATGTTATATTGCATCTGATCGTCTGCAGTGCCGAGTGCTGATCGTGTGTAGTGTTTTTTTCACCTGATTGCTGTGAAGCCTTATACGTGCGCGACTTTTCTGGTTCTGGTTATGCGGGTTTGTCCGCCATCCACTAACGTCAGAGTTTAAATATTATATTGTCTACCCTAGGCTATCAGTTTCGTAGAAGGAGAGGTAAAGGATTTTCTGTCTATTTGTTTAATAAAGAACGTATATTTTTAGGACTGAGTTTGTTTCATCCTTGCGCGGGTGGTTACAAGTTTATTTCTATAGCTCCAATTCACATCATGTCATCTCAGGTCACTTTCCAGTTCAACCAGATCATCCAGTCAGATTGATTCAAAGTTTTCTATCTAAGGAACCCCAGCTGATTGCATCGACTCATTGACTCTTCAGCAATCCCTCACACTAAGCATGCTTGTAGCGACAGTCGAGAGGAAAAACTCCCTTTGAACAGGAAGAAACCTCCAGCAGAACCAGGCTCTATTCTCCCACTCTGCAGAATCTGTTAGTTCAATCTCTAACGTTCTGCTCTCTCTGCTTTTTCTCATAGTAGCTTCATCTGGTCTGTTGCTGTTTGGCTGTGACTCCATCCTGGAGAGAAATATCAGCTGTGCTGCTGCCATCAACACCTTTGTTTCTAGATGTTGGAGCTTGGCCTGTTTTCCAGTGTAGTCCTGTTTCTCTGACTGTGACTAACTGGATGTGCTCTCTTCATCCTCTGACATGGGAGCTGGCTCGGAGCTCGTCTGCCTGGCTGTGTGTTTCCTGGACGGGGCCGCCTGTGGAGCTGGTTGACAGTTGCCTTTTGTATCTATGCTTCTTTTTCTATGTCTGCTTCTGTCTCCTTGAACCCCAGTGGGCCTCAGCAGATGGCCGCTCACACTGAGCCTGGTTCTGCTGGAGGTTTCTTCCTGTTCAAAGGGAGTTTTTCCTCTCCACTGTCGCTACAAGCATGCTTAGTGTGAGGGATTGCTGAAGAGTCAATGAGTCGATGCAATCAGCTGGTTTTCCTTAGATAGAAAACTTTGAATCAATCTGACTGGATGATCTAGTGAACTGGAAAGTGACCTGAGATGACATGATGTGAATTGGAGCTATAGAAATAAGCTGAATAGAATTGGATTGAACATAGATACAGAAGGCAACTGTCAACCAGCTGCACAGGCGGCCCCGTCCAGGAAAGACCCATCAGAGAAGCTGATGTGGGAGCTGGCAGGGAGACAGACTCCTTATGAAAGAGTTTATTAACGCCTAAATTAACTTAAAATGTAGAAACCGGCCGGAAAAATATGATTATGTAATCCTGGTTCCTGCAGTTTGGATTACGAACGTGAAAAACATCTTCCAGCCACTAATAGTAGTGGAAAACCCCCAAGAGGCAACCAAGCCATAGGCAGCTGCTGCTAGGGATTCCCAGTGACAGCGCCGCGCCGGTATGGGGGGGGTCTGAGCGGCTCCCACAGAGAAATAATCTTTGAAGGCAGGATGGTAATCTGGATGAACCGACTGCGGTGAACTGGTGAAAGAAAAGTGAAATGGCGTGCTCAAAGATGACCCTGCACATTTAGAGGATGTTTGGCTCAACCTGCTAGCCTGACGTAGTCCTACTCAATTCTAGTCAGAATGAGTCTGATGCTGCTCCATAGAGCTGTGATTATGGGGCGTGTTTCGAACGAACCAGGAAAAAAAATGCCTCTGCACTCAATTGGATAGACCTACAACCAATAAGAGCAACGGAGTGCGTGACGTATGTTAAGCGACGCATAGTTGTTGTCCACAAAAATCAAAGCGTGCAGTTGGACGCCTAGAATAAGAAGATAAGCCTTGATCGCGTTTCTCTGTTCCTCTTTTAAAATTAATTTTCTGTCGGTATCTTCTAGAACAGACCTAATAGCAGAATCTACTCACCTCAACTCTCCAGCGGCAGCCATTGTTGTTGTCACCCAAGCGCGCTTTGGTCACGTGGTTGATTACGTTACTGTTGATCATCTGTCCATCATCGTATAAAGCCCGCCCTGACAATTTGATTGGATCGCCAGATATTGTGTGAGCATACTCGCGTTACTATTGAGCAATGCCAGACCGAACTTCCCGACCTCAAACGTTGTGGGCGGGACTAAGTTCGGAATGGCACCCAGGCTACCAACCTGCTGCTGTGAAGCAGGATTCTCCACCATGAACAGAATCAACGATAAATCTGGATCCAGGCTCAGAATGAGCACCTTGATATGTGCTTGAGAATGGCTTAGTCTCCGGTTAAACCCAGGTTTAAAAGCCTTGCAGGGCAGCCTAAAGCTCACTGCGCACTTTCATCTGGTTTGGTCTGCCGGTTTCCGTAGCGTTGTGAACGCGCTTTTAGGAAATCCTATACACTACTGTTTATGCTCTAAAAACATTCTAAATGACTTCGTTTCGAGTAAATTCTGGACGCTACCCACTCAGGACGCTTGGAATACATTGGACGAGCAGTATGGAGGAATATTGACACGTTTTTTGTGGACTTTTATGGACGTTTCTGCCTCGGGCGCCATAGACCTCCATTATTTGAATGTCAGCAGACAGCAAGAAGCCTCCCAGATCTCCAGATGCATTTGAGATATCAAAAAAGTACTCCAGAGTGTTGTTCAGCATGGGGGTGAGTAGAAAATGAAGGCTAATCATGTTTTGGGTGTACTATTCCTTTAAGGCAGAAAAAAGAAAGAAACGCTCAGTTCAGGGGTTTGAGAAAATATGGGAATCAGGAAATTATCTATAAACCAAACTGAACGATTGTTGTTCTCTACTTCAAAAAACAATTTAGATTATAAAATGGAAAAATGTTCTAATGTATAACATAGATGGATAAACACCTCATTTTATTTCAGTGTTAAATGTTACTGGTTGATGATTTCTTTATTCAGACCCCGTTGGTTTTTAATTGGTTAGAAGATGTTAGATGGTTGATTTTCACCGAGGTTCATGAACTGCTGATCTAGAAGCGGTAAAGTATTCCAGGATCCTGGTCGCTTATAGAACATGCAAGAAGGTCTGGCTGCTTGAGAGGAAACCATAAAAACCAAGGAGTTAAAAGTGGAGCGAGATGTAGTTAGAGAAGCTGCGATTGGCTGAAAGGTGAGCATAATAAATCAGGACGGGTTTATTTAAACGAAAGCACGGAGGAATGGTGAGGTGGCACCAGCCGCCGTTCCACATGGAGCCTAAAATAACGGAGACTGAGGGCTGGTCCAGGTTCAGGTTTAGACTGGGGCTACCGTCGCCCTGTAATCAGCCGCCCTCCCTGCTCCTCTCTGTAATTTTCTTAATTCAAGCCAGTTGAGGGTCTCGCCCTCCATTCATCCTCACTTTCCTTATATTTCTTTCCTTTCCTGGTTCCTTTCTCTGCAGAGATATTTTTTTGCTGTTTTTCAGGAGATTCTTACGGTAAAAACCTGATTTGACAGCAGCAGTGGAAAACCTGTTGTGGATCTCTGAGTGCAGGTTTGTTTTCCTTCTCCTTCAGGGATCCCCCCCCCACCCCCCCCATTGTAAATGTTTACAGCTTTCCTGCGGTAATCTTCTGAAGTTGGTGTGAAACGGCCAGCAGCACGCGTCACGACGGCCCTGGGCGTGTAACTCCTCCCTTCCTTTACGTCCCAGCTACTGTTACCCAGCACATCTGGACCGGCTGCAGCTGCCGGTTAAATCAGGAGTTTGTGAGGTTTAAGCCGCAGAGCAGAACCAATTCTCTGCAAGTTGCTCTTTATTTATCTTCTCCTCTCTGAGCGCTGTCTGATATCTGACACATCTGTTTGTGTTTGAGCGGCTCTGGTTTATATAACGCCGTTTTTGAAGCACCCTGAAGATCTCAGTGGGACCAGCTGTTTCATGAGCTCTGAAAGACGGCAAGAACATCAGGTCCAACATGACGTAGCTGAACGGAAACAAAGACCTTGTACTTCAGCTTTCTTGGATTTTTATTTCCTGAAAGACGCCAATAAAGCTAACATGTATTGCCAGACCACCCTGTGAGTCCTGTTCCATGCACTAACACCCATCCATTCAGCCATTTTCTCCCGCTAAAGGGTTGTGTATACTCCCGCAGCAGTGTGTCGCAGTGAGTTTGTTGCAGATATTTTTGATTTATGCCCAATATTGAAGCGTGGTCTACGCTATGTTATGCCACGCCACAACGCAAGAGAGACAATCACGAACTAGCTAGGATTGTGGGCGTCCGTGTGTCGGTTTAATGAACTTGTTCGCCGTCTACAACCCTTTAACGACCAACCCTCAGAATCATAGACAGGCTTCAGAAATCACAGGCTAACGATGGAACCAAACGACCCATACATCGGTTACCATTTGCATGTTTCCAAGCGATACAAGGCTTCGTCTATATAAGACTCAAACTCACTGCGGATCCAGACATTTGAATTGAGAAAGCTTCCTGGAGAGGTGGCGAAACGTCTTCAGATCTTGGAAACCAAGTCCAGTAGATATTTTTTGAATTTTTACGGTCTACAACCCTTCATCCAACATCGGACGACACACAGTTCACCTGTGAGTGTTCCCCAAAGGCTGGCCGTGGCGCTGCGTGTTTTGGCTTCAGGTCCAAACCAACAGACCGTCGTAGAGAGCTACAAACTAGCGTCCTGCACGGTGTCTGGGATAGAGTCCGAGGTGTGCCCGGTGTTGTGGACGGCGCTACAGCCAGAGTTTCTCCCATTAGGTACCAAACAGGAAATACGCATAGTGTAGAGCGGATGTAGAATTGACCAATCAGAGGCCTCCTTTATCTCCTCCTTGCGATGCTATCTGCTGCACTGTCTACAGTCACCTACAATTTTAAACACACGCAGATGACCTGGTTTAGTCCAGGCTTTAGTCCGGTCATGGTCGCAGTGCGGGCGGTGCCTATCTCCAGCAGTCTACGGGCCGGACGCGGCGTCGCCATGGACATGCGCCAGTCTGTCATGGAGCAACATAGAGATACACAACCGTACACCCACACGCTCACACCTAAGGACAATTAAGAGAAGCCAATTAACCTAACACTCATGTCTTTGGACTGTGGGAGAAAGCCGGAGTACCTGGAGAGAACCCATGCATGCTCATGGAGAACATGCAAACTCCATGCAGAAAGACGCTGGACCGGGAATCAAACCCGTAGCGTTCTTGCTGCATGGCAGCAGTGCTAATCACTGGATGTCTCATTGATGCTTCCTAAATCCTCCATCAGCCTCTATTGGGGACGGCTTACACCAATGCCTTCACCCTCCTCTTCATCAACAGGACCTTTGAAATGCGTTTGTCCGTTGTCTTTGTGAGAAAAGATGGTCGCTGTTTCTGGAGAAGGTACGTTATTGAATGTTTGACGATGGTGCCAGAAATGGGAGCCAGAGCATCCCCAAAGGACAAGACTCCAAGAACTGTTTCCTGAAAATGTCTTTCAGTGGGAATCATCTTGAAGTTGGACAACTGTGGTTTAATTTCCAGCCTCTTCGCTCACCAGATGTCAATGGCCATACCCAACCCAGAGTTGTTGGCTGGATGATCCATTTCTACCAGAAACATCTGGAATACTGACCCCTCTGACCACAGTTCGGTCCACATAGAACAGGTGTTGCAAATTCCAGTTGCTGGGGGCAGTGTCCTGCAACTTTTAGATCCCTCTTTGTTCCAGCACACCTTAATGAAATGTCTGAGTTTCCTCCTCGGTACCTCCAGAGTCCTCTCAGTCATTGAATTACTCGATTCAGGTGTGATGAACCAAAGGCTCATCTAAAAGTTGCAGCACACCGGCCCTCAGGATCTGGAATTGCCCATCCCTGACATAGAGGGATGGTCTGTATGGCTCTGACTCTAGAAGACTGAATGCTGGACAAGGTTAATATCAACCGATTTAACCAGTTCATTCTATTCAGTTTATTTCTATAGCTCCAATTCACATCATGTCATCTCAGGTCACTTTATAGATCCAGATCATCCAGTCAGATTGATTCAAAGTTTTCTATCTAAGGAACCCCAGCTGATTGCATCGACTCATTGACTCTTCAGCAATCCCTCACACTAAGCATGCTTGTAGCAACAGTGGAGAGGAAAAACTCCCTTTGAACAGGAAGAAACCTCCAGCAGAACCAGGCTCAGTGTGAGCGGCCATCTGCTGAGGCCCACTGGGGTTCAAGGAGACGGAAGCAGACATAGAAAAAGAAGCATAGATACAAAAGGCAACTGTCAACCAGCTCCACAGGCGGCCCCGTCCAGGAAACACACAGCCAGGCAGACGAGCTCCGAGTAGAATCCCACACCAGAGAACGAGAGCACATCCAGCCAGAGAAACAGGAACACACTGGAAAACAGGCCAATCTCCAACATCTATAAACAAAGGTGTTGATGGCAGCAGGGTGGAGAAAAATATCATTCAAACTTCTGAAAGTTCTTTAAATCTAAAATGATTCCATCCTGTTCAATAAATGATCAGTGTTTTTAATTCAGAGCAATTTTCATGTGAATGTGCTTTACTGGAGGCATCCATGTTTGTCAAAGAACACTACTGCCACCTACTGGTTTGTGACGTCACGGTGCGGTATCGGCTGTTGATCAAGTCCCAGTGCTGTATCTGGTGTTTGTCACAACGCGCTATTATCCAAGTCATCTTGAAAACATTCTTCTTCCAAATGTTGGCTACATATTACGGGTTTTTTCTCTGGCCAGAAGTTCGATGGCAAATCCTCCCTCTTCAAGTTGGCGATCCAACGACCAACCCGTCCGTGGAGGATCAGGAATCAGAAAGGTGGAATAACTCTTTTATTCCACTTTTACCCGATGTATTCCAGCATCCAGCTGCCATGCACGTGGGCATTGTCAGTTTCACTATAGCTCTGGTGAATTTCAATGGTGAAGTCCTCTGGAAATCTTCAATAATCGTTGTTGATTGCAGATGTGTCTAGTAGTTCCCATTGATTTAGCTTGGAAAGCGGGGAGAATGGCGCTAGGCTTACCGCACCGTGACGTCACTGCTGGAAGATGGCAGGAGGGAGGGGTTACCCAGACTTAGTGATCGCAACGAAAATTATTGCTTCCATTTTATTACAAATTAACTCAAAATTCATGAAATCACCGTGATCGTATTATTTTCAGGCATAAATAATGATCCACTGATTATTCGTTGCTGAGTGGACTTCTTTAAAGAAGCTGTAACACAGACCTCTACAGGAGATCCTACCTGCTAACAGCCATTAGCATCTGCAGAATCTATAGCCTGGATCTTTTAAGAGTTGTTAACACATTTACTGATGCTTTAGATTAACTGAATAGAGCTTAATCAAATGGATTCAGGAATTGTGATAAAGATCAGATAATTAGCAAAGATAAGAACATTAGAACATCTAACGTCTGAACCTCCTCAGAATCTAAGATCAAATCCAAGCACCATAGAGGAGACGGCTTGACCTTCAGATCCGTTATCTAATGTCCAACACAGGAAGAGGAGGAATAAACGGGGAATATTTCCTCTTCCTGATGAAAACCTTTCAGGAGGAAGTCTTTGAAGTCATTAAGAAAGCTTTAAATCTCCACTCTGACCCGGTTCTCCGTCTTCATCAGGACCAACCTGATGTCAACAGCTGAGTCTGTGGGCTTCTGTTTGTTTATCATCAACATAGCATGGAGCGGCTGGGGCCCCGGGGCCCCACAGGGTTCTGCTCGGACCCATGAAGGAATCAACCTGCTCTTTCCCCCGGGCCTGGCATCATGACCCGAGTCCGGATCAGCTCTGCTCGGGATGGCCGGCAGGCGAGTTGCTATGGTTACTGCTGTGACCTGATTGTTAGAAAAAAAAAAAACAATGAGGGAAAACTTCAAAGAGGAGCTGCTCTGTTGCCTAGCAACAAGGCAGGACTGCTCCCCCTCCGTGCATCCCTCGGTTTCATCACTCTATCACTCTGCTCCATCTCTCCTCCAGATCACTCCTTCACTTGCATCACTTTTTCCTGCGTTTATCACTCCATCTTCACACTTTTTCTTTCTCCGATCTTCAGGGTCTCTCACTCATCTGAAGCTTCCTCCCCTCCCCCTCTCCATCACCCCCCCTCCTCCTGCCTCCTGTTTAAGAGGAAAGATCCCCAGATATCCAACATGGGAAAACTTTAGCATCCAGTTGAGCAACCTGAGAGGTGACCTACGGCCATCTTTATCCCCACGTTTCACCCTCTGATGGAACCAGCTTGGCTGCAGAGGGAACCTTTTTATTTTTGAGTCTCGTAGATCAACATGAATCAGGATCCAGATCAGAACCTCCTATGATCCATCTTCTCCTTCTTTCACCTTTTTACCCCCAGCTCACTGACTTCCTGTCTCCTCAGCAGGCGATTTTTAAAGTCTCCTGGGAACCAGAGGAAAAAAACAAGATGAACAAACTCACAGATCTTCAGATGAACTTGGATAAAATGTCCGTTCTACACTTTAGGACTTGTTTCAGTCTTTTTTCCCGCTCACAATCAGCTGAAGGTCTGGACTTTGACTAGACCGCTTCAGCCCCCTTTTACTTTTCATTCATTCTGATCTAGAGCTCGTCTTTACTTCTATTCAGTTTATTTCTATAGCTCCAATTCACATCATGTCATCTCAGGTCACTTTCCAGTTCAACCAGATCATCCAGTCAGATTGATTCAAAGTTTTCTATCTAAGGAAAACCAGCTGATTGCATCGACTCATTGACTCTTCAGCAATCCCTCACACTAAGCGTGCTTGTAGCGACAGTGGAGAGGAAAAACTCCCTTTGAACAGGAAGAAACCTCCAGCAGAACCAGGCTCAGTGTGAGCGGCCATCTGCTGAGGCCCACTGGGGTTCAAGGAGACAGAAGCAGACATAGAAAAAGAAGCATAGATACAAAAGGCAACTGTCAACCAGCTCCACAGGCGGCCCCGTCCAGGAAACACACAGCCAGGCAGACGAGCTCCGAGCCAGCTCCCATGTCAGAGGATGAAGAGAGCACATCCAGTTAGTCACAGTCAGAGAAACAGGACTACACTGGAAAACAGGCCAAGCTCCAACATCTAGAAACAAAGGTGTTGATGGCAGCAGCACAGCTGATATTTCTCTCCAGGATGGAGTCACAGCCAAACAGGAACAGACCAGATGAAGCTACTAGTCTTGCTTTTTGGTCCGTTGCTCTATTGATGATCATCTGTCAACCACTCGGCTGTAAAGTCTGCTGAGACCGGCCAATGGGAACACACGTTTCACATCGAGAGAAAAATCCTGAATTAAGAGCAAAAAGGTTTTGAGAGAGAAATCTATTTTTAAGAGGAAATGTTTCACTCTGGGATGGGGCCGCCTGTGGAGCTGGTTGACAGTTGCCTTTTGTATCTATGCTTCTTTTTCTATGTCAGCTTCTGTCTCCTTGAACCCCAGTGGGCCTCAGCAGATGGCCGCTCACACTGAGCCTGGTTCTGCTGGAGGTTTCTTCCTGTTCAAAGGGAGTTTTTCCTCTCCACTGTCGCTACAAGCATGCTTAGTGTGAGGGATTGCTGAAGAGTCAATGAGTCGATGCAATCAGCTGGTTTTCCTTAGATAGAAAACTTTGAATCAATCTGATCTGGATGATCTGGTGAACTGGAAAGTGACCTGAGATGACATGATGTGAATTGGAGCTATAGAAATAAACTGAATAGAATTGAATTGAATTTATTCTACTTCCCAAATATTTTTTTTCTTGAATTTATTAAAAACACAAACCTAACCCCATAGAGAGGCATTCCATAGTGTGTCCTTTAAGACTTTAACTGGTTTAAATTGTTTTTATTTCCTCATCAGGAATGAATAAAGTTTAAATGAATCGATCAGTGAACTTTGGTCTATTTTTGCCTTTCATTGCTGCAGATCAGCTCAGCTTTGTTTAGAACCACATCAGACCTGCTGATGAGGTCATTCTCTCCTTTATTACTCACACACCAGAGCTGGGAGGTTTCTGAGGACATTACATCATCATGTCATGGTTTGCATTTTTACATTTTGATCCTGAATGAAACTTCATTCAGGATTGGAAACACTTGAGGCCACAGTTTGAATTTTTGATCTAATTTCTGCTCCAGAGCAGGAAGACGCACAGCCGCCATCGCTGAACTCAGACCACATTTTCCATCTGTTTCCAGAGATGTTTCTCCTCCATCACACTCTCTCCTGGGCTGCTGCTCCTATCTTCATGTTTCTCTGCTGCCATCTGGTGGTCAGCTGTGGAACTGACTCATCATAGAAAACAGGTCCAGCTGTGGTTAACTAGCTGGTTCTGACCACTGATCTCTGCTGATTGCTCGTTGGTAGTACAGGGCTTAAGTGAAGCCACCGGCCGCCATATTGGTACTCCCTAGTTAGACCGGCCTCAATGTAAACAATCTGTGCGCTACAGCATCAAACAACGATGATGTTCTCATTTTCAGGGGGATTTAAGACTTTTAAAATAAAGATAAATTCATCACTTTGACACAGACTGGCTGTTTCATAGCATCAGTAGATTAACTGTAACTTAGAATTAAAAAAAATAGGCCCGTCACATTGCAGAGTCATTATGAAGTCAATTAAGTCTATAAATCATGTAATATAACATAATATACAAATCCATCACAACAAAACGAATATGTTAATGGAGCAGAATAATACAGATGTGCTCAAAGTGCTAATCAAGACTGAATTACAAGTACATGTCTGTCTATATATATATATATATATATAGGAGTCAAATGTCCGAGTTGCTTTTTTTCTGTCAATATAACATGCTGTATAGTTCAGCACATAAATATTTCAAATGAGAAATGCAACAAACATTACAGGAACTACAGCATCATCCACTGAATAAAGAATTACTGCATTAACATTTCACAGTAGTGTGTGTGTGTGTGTGTGTGTGGACCTGTTTTTACGAGGGTGTGGGGACTTTAATCTGTTTACAGAGTCACATCATGGGGACATATGTCCTTATGGGGACCAAAATACGGTAAAGTTGTTTTCTTTGAGCCGGGGTTAGGTTTAAGATTAAGGGGGGAATTCAGTTTAGGTTAGGTTTATGTGGTGTGTAATATTCTTAATATCTGACTACTGTATTATTCTGCTCCATTAACACATTATTTAGGATGTGATGGATTTGTATAATATGTTATATTACGTGATTTATAGACTTCATTGACTTCGTAATGACTACGTAATGTGATGGGCCTATTTTATTTTTTTTTACCATGAATTACAGTAACGTACTAATGCTATGAAACAGCAAGTTTGTGTCAAATTGATGACTTCATTTTTATTTTATAATTCTTAAAGGTAAAGTCTGGTCAGCGAGGAATAAACAATGGATCATTATTTATACCTAAAACTAATAAGTTCGCAGTGATTTAATGAATTTAGTGCAAAAAAGAAAAATAATAATTTTTGTTGCGATCACTGAGTCTGGGAGCGGCCATTTTTGCCCAAATATAGTAGCCCCTCCCTCCTGCCATCTTCCAGCAGTGACGTCACGGTGCGGTAAGCCTAGCGCCATTCTCCCCGCTTTCCAAGCTAAATCAATGGGAACTACTAGACACATCTGCAATCAACAACAATTATTGAAGATTTCCAGAGGACTTCACCATTGAAATTCACCAGAGCTATAGTGAAACTGACAATGTCCACGTGCATGGCAGCTGGATGCTGGAATACATCGGGGAAAAGTGAAAATAAAGAGTTATTCCACCTTTCTGATTCCTGATCCTCCACGGACGGGTTGGTCGTTGGATCGCCAACTTGAAGAGGGAGGATTTGCCATCGAACTTCTGGCCAGAGAAAAAACCCGTAATATGTAGCCAACATTTGGAAGAAGAATGTTTTCAAGATGACTTGGATAATAGCGCGTTGTGACAAACACCAGATACAGCACTGGGACTTGATCAACAGCCCATACCGCACCGTGACGTCACTAACCAGTAGGTGGCAGTAGTGTTCTTTGACAAACATGGATGCCTCCAGTAAAGCACATTCACATGGAAATTACTCTGAATTAAACTCAATTAACTTTTCCTTTGATTATTACCACAGATATTAATTCACACACCTTAGATTCAATATTATTATTTTATTAAAGGAAGATTAAGCCAAACTGGATGTTTGTGAAAAATAAAGTGCGAAACGTTTAGATCAATAAAACATCATTATTTCAACTCATATTTTTAATGAACTTTTTAAGGCGATTCTCAGACCTGCCATTCTGTGACACCCTTTGAAAAAACCTTCAAGAAAAAAATAAAATTAATCATATTTTTTGGGGAAGTTTAATAAGACATAATAGGAAAACATTTAAAACAATGAATTAAACACATCTGCAGCTTTCTACAATCTTAGAGTGAAACTAAAACAGGAGTTTTGAAAAGATTACAGTAAACAATTAAAGCACAGTCATGTCGGTTTGATGAATCTTTGCTGCTCAGTGTGAATTATTCCCCGAGGAGAACTGATTCAGTCCAGTCTGATGGTCCAATGTGAACCCGGTCTTTAGTTCAGCGCTCCAGGCGTCCCCACTCAGCCGGAGGGTCTCTGGGTCCTTTGGGCTTCTGGATGCGGCAGTTAAAACCTAAAGAAAAAAACAGAAAACTTTAGATTCTCTAAAATCAGGTGAATAAAAGGAACTTCAACAGGGGTCTGTGACACCTAGGGGTCCACAGAGGTACTGCATGGGGGTTGCAAAAGTTTTGGTTGATTAAAATATTTTTTTCATATTCCTCCCTGCAATTTTTTCCACTAATTGAAATGTTGATAGAACACTATTTCATACAATATATATAATTAAGGGGTCCCCGCTCCATCTAGCCATCAGTTTGGGGACCTTGGCCTGGAAAACGTTGAAATCCTCTGGACTAAAGAGTTCGGAAAGATGTTCAATCAGCTCTATTAAAAAATAACCTGTCAGTGACGGAGGGCAGCATTTCCTGACCTCTATTTAAACCACTTCTTCTTTTATCTAATTATCTTTATAATTTGTCCCGTCATGCCGTTTAGCTTCTATAGCAGATGGTTGTTTTCCTCTCTATGTTTTGTACTCAGCTGACTTTTCATGCTGTCTCTAAAGAAATGAAAGATTTTTTCCAAGCACTAAGCTCACTTAGCTGATTGCTCCTTCCTGTGTTTCCAAAAAGGCCAAAGTAAATAACCCAGTCCTTCTTTTCACTGTAGACAAGCCATGATCTGCTTATCTGTTCTCCATTTTTCATTTGGATGAAATAATAGCTGCATGAATCATGACAGCAGACAAGATAGAGGAGAGCAGGAGGCGGGGTTACCAATCTACTCGCTCTGGAGAGCAGAGTTCGCTGCTTTTAGACGTTGTCTCCAAAGTCTCCAGTAGCAGAAAAAAGTCTCTAGATTTGGCGCTAGGAGCTTTTTTGGGCTGAAACAATATTATCAGCGTTCTGATGGCATTTTAGCTGAAGGATTTTTATCAAAAACATCATTAATGTGCATAAATAAGGAATACTCCTTACATTTTAAAAATAGGCTCATTATTTTTTATTAATTTAAGCTCATTTTCATTATGGCCTGTTGGTATTTAAAGAATAAAAACCATCAAAATAATTAGTTTCATTCAGACAATTCATTTCTATGTGGTTGGACTCGGTGCTGCCCCAACCTGTTGCTCACCACATACCAAAATAAATAGTTTTTTCCAAAAGATCCAAAGTTACCATTAAATATAAAACTAAAAAAAATAAATAAGTATAAGGAAGTTTCCCTTTAATAGGATAGTGCAGTAAAGCATTTTAACATTTTGCAGTACTTTAAGTAATTTTAAAAAGGGTAATTTTACACTTTTATTGGAGTAAAAAGCTGAAGTTGATCCTCTAACTTCTAAAAAAAACTATGTTTTAAAATAATCATGAGCTAAAATAAAGACCAAACCAACTATTAACACAAAGAAATGACAAAGAGAAACAGAAAACAAAAAGTTTAACAAAACCAAACTAATATGGAAACCCCTTAATGGCAGAATAACAAAGTATGGCAAGACCTTAACAGCTAAACTGATAACCAGCTTAAATAAGAGAGAACTGATACCCATAAAACCATTAAATTTCACCATCAAACTCAGGAGGGTTTGCAGCAGTGTGAAAAATGTTGCCTTCACTTCCTCTTTTACTAACGATTAGTTTAAGCACTATGGTGACAAACAGCTCCATGCATAGTGTTAGGTTTATGCTTTATACATCATGTGCACTGTTACTTTGCTAGCTGGATTAGAGAGAGTAGAAGGCCTTCCTTCACATTGTGGATGTCACGGTGTGTACGGAGGTCATCTAATCAGGACAGCCTTCATGTCTTTAAAAATACACAGGATATGGGCACATATTGGAGCCGGTCTGATACAGGAGAGCTATCTGTAATCTTTGGGCATGGATGGCGTGTCAGTTTCTGATACGGAGATCCACCTGATCCAACACATGGACTCATGAGCTATAAGAAGGAGAAGATGACGCTGTTCGGGGCTCAATCTTTGCCGGACGCTCGCGATTGTGACTTTTGAGCCCACAGCTGTGCAAACTCCAAGTTTTTTTTTCTCTGTCCTGTAACGACCTGATCTGGAATAAACTCTGTTATTTTTTACTCCTGTTTTATAGTCCTTTTTATATGGATTTACCCAGTTTGAGTTAAGAGTAGTAAATAACTTGCTCCCATGAAAAGAACCGTGAGGAAGCCCCCGAGGCACAGCTGCCTTTTTTAGGGGACATAACTTCCTCATTTAACAATAGCTTCACTACTTGCTGAGCTTAATGCAGCTCCTTCAATGTGAACATGTCAGCCATAAGTCCACTAACTAAAATATGAATCAGAATATTATAGTGAGGGTGTTTATAATAAATAGTTTGGGTCTATGTGTGTTTGCCAGATTTTAATTTTAAGTTATAATTTGTGTCGAGATCCAAAGGTGTTGGAATTGGTATTGGCATGAGTGTAGCGATACTTGGGTCACACTATAGCAATATCACTATATATGGCGATATTTTTCCCAGCTATCAAAATGAAAGCCATAGATAAATAAGCGATGGCTGCATATGTTCAACAGAAGATCTTGATCACTCAGTTATTTTGGTATCCATGTTGTTTGGGGTTTGAATCGATCCACGTCTTCCATTCTCCTTGCTTCATCTATCTGTATGGTGCCGTGCCGCACAGGGAAATGGCTCCACGGCGCCATCTACATCTGAAAATCACAATATATCGCCAAATTGATTTTTTCGCACACATCTAGGTGTCATAGCTGAACGTTACACGACTCAAACTAAAGCGGCTAAAGATGAGCGGCCATTCGAATCGATGGTAAGAATTTGGTGATACAATACGTATTATGATACATATGTAAGGATTAGTGTTGCGCCGATGCAATTTTTTGGCCCCGATACCCGATAGCTGTGCGGTATCGGCCCATACCGATACCATCTGTTTGAAATTGATGTGTGTGTATATATGAAGAACTGCAAACTACTTGGGTGTAAAATAATTACCGTCATGGCTTTTTCCAAGCTGCTGCCTGCCTTTGGGAAGCAGGAAAAAGACGAATACTGTCAGGAATCCAGTTTGTTTGGTCTGTTTTTGTGTTTCTTTTTCTCCACCACCAGGTGGCGCCCCGTCCTCGTTGGGCCTCCCTGCACACCTGCGGCTCGTTGGATCATTATCTGGAGGAGTATTTAAGCAGTGGACTGTCACTGCCTCAAGGCCAGAGTGTTTGCCAGTTTTGGGGAATCTAGCCAAGCTGAGTTTAGCTAAGTCTAATCTGAGCCTTTATTTCTTAACGAGTTTTTTGTCTTTGCTCTCCGGCAGGAAGTCTTCCTGCATACTGGATGTTTGGCCTTCTCCCCCCTGGAAGGATTATTTGTGTTCACACCAGACATGGGCAATGTGGAGTCAACAAGTCATCTCCATGTCATGTATTTTATCTACCCAGCCAATTAACCAGGTGAGTCCAATCTGCACAGGTTAATTCACGGTGAAGATTGGACTCACCTGCTTCAGTGGCTGGGTAGAACAAATACATGACATGGAGATGACTTGTTGACTCCACATTGCCCATGTCTGGTTCACACTGAGCAGGGGAAAAAAACCTCCACATGTGCCGTTCATGTTCTTACGGAAATCCAAGTGACGGTCTGCTCCATGGCTCCTCTGGGTCCTACAAATGTCTACCTGTCCTCTCTCCAACGAGTTCCCTCTTCACTGGATCAACCCACACTGACTGGATTCGAAGTGAGAGAAGAACCCCCCCAAACGTGAGTCCCTCACTAGCATTATCCTTACGGCATCCAAGATTCCCACGGAACCTGAACTCACCTCTGTGAACATCCCTCCTCCCTTCCAGTGTACAAGATCCAACCCCTTAACCCGTACCACGATAAACCTGTTAAACCTTTGCCTTGCTCTCTCAGTGGTTCTCTGCATTTTGGGTCAGATCACTTAAATGCATCATGACAAAAACAAAGTGAATCCAGTAGAACTTTTTATTGCCTCCCTGGAATGGGGGACAATAGTTAAAGAAACTTTTGGCTCTCAAAATGGTATCGATGCCCTATTTGTTGGTTCTCGCCGATACAGATACCACCATTTTACTGCTGGTTCGTGGCCCCGCCCGATACTGGTATCGGGGCAACACTAGTAAGGATACAATATCGTGATACATTCAAGGCGATGATAATATTGCCATTTTTTAAAATAGTACACCTCTGAATAGTATTTTCTATATTTAACATCCATCTGACTGTATTTTAAATTGATACAAATAATAGCTTCTAAAGTATTGCGATATTAGACAGAGCTGTTTGAAATGATCAGACTCTTATTCTCTGCTTAAACCTGGACTCTGACTCTGATCTCCATCCCTCACATCATAGCAAACAGCTCACACATATTGTATGCAGCGTGTTAAAAGCAGGAGAAAAACAGAAGAAGAAGAAGAAAGCAGGGTGTTAGCTGCTTCTACATGTCAGCATGTGTAGATTCTTCTACCATAAATAAAGAGGAAGTCCAGCTGTAATGAGGTCTGATAGGTTAACGGCTGTGAGGAAACAGGCAGCTGTGTTATTTTTTAAGTTGTATCATATTTGAAACATGAGCTTTTAGGATATCGACATCATCAGTATGATTCAGTTTCTCTGGAGGAACCTGAACTTTACCAGTGAACAGAAGAGATGCTGTGATAACTATTTTAGGCTTCTAAACAGGGGCCAACAGTGACTTAAGGTGATGAAGCATTTTCACCATCAGTTACTTTCATTTCATCAACATTCTCCCGTAGAACTCGTCCTTTCAAATACAAAAACTCAGACTTGACTTCAAATGCTTGTAAACCAGAAACCACATTCAGCTCAGAGCTGGAATTGACCACTTAAAGTATAGAGATAGAAATAATTCAACACGCTAAATTTCAGCTAGATCAAACTAGTGGAAGTGGGTCAGGGGCGTTACTCGTAGCTCATCTTCCTCCGACCACATAGATTTTCTCTGGGGTTACCGGTTCGGGCAGTTTGCTGGCTGAGAGCAGGGATACCATGGAAACCAGGTACTGCTAGCTCTGAAACTGTTTGCTGA